AAGTTGGTTTTAATATTCTCCCCCCAGCTTCCCTTGCTGTCCCTTTGCCCTGAGGGAAGCACACCTCTGGCATGGGGGGTTTTATCTGCCAATTATCAGGGGTGCCACAATAAGTTTATTTTTGAGAACCAAGTTAATGCCACCCCAGCATTAGCGTTCATCCCAACACGTGAAGGGAATGAAGTTAGAAAAGTTGGTTTTATTATTCTCCCCCTGGAGCATCTGCACACTTGGTAAAGTGAAAATACTGGCAGGGTTTGGTGCTAAAAGCTGAGCTGTGAGCAGCTGACCCAAGAACTGAGTGCTCTGGGGAGCAAGTGAGGAGAATTCACTTCCCAAAGATTGCCACGAACACATTTCAACACTTCAGCCCCAGCTCTGTGTCTGCAGGGCTGAAGCTGTGCTGCACCTCAGACACCTGCATTCCCAGGAATATCCTCCCACCCAGGGACACAGCTAACATGAGAACAAAGAGTTTTATCCATCTTGCAGGGCTTGGCTCTTCCATTTCTCACTTTTAGTACTCAGGGCTCTCCTGAAATTCCATTGGGAAAAAATACCAGAATCAGGATTGCTTAGAAATTAGAACTGAAACTTCTTCTTTACTGCTACATTATTAAAGCAGGTTTCAACCATATTAGGAGAGCACTTAAAAGTCCAATTATTTAAAAATTACTCCTCTTAAACTCTAGCAATATTATCATTTCCAACCCAAGTTTATTTTGCATTTAGCTTTACTTGGTTCCTCTCACAGATTGTTACCTAGAATTTAATTCCAAGTTAAATCAGCTCAACCTGCTACATTCCCTCACAAAACACATGGCACTGCTGAAGGCACCACGGCCAAGAACAGCACTATGGAATATTACATATATTTCTATTTTTAAGTTCTGAGGTAACAAGTCCCAGAAAATGTGTTTTGTTTTACAGAAAGCTGTTTAAGAACAAGGTGAGATTTCATGTTTTCCATCTCCTTTCCTTCCCAGTTTGTCACAGACCACAAAGTCATGGAACACTCTATTCCAGGACACAGGGAAAGTAATCCAGAATTCAATATTTTCTTGCTCTGCCTGTATGTGCCTGAATTTCAGGTATTTATCCAGAGGCCAAGCTGTTCACTTGTTACGAACCAGCAGATGCTCATTAGCACATTAAATATAATTTCTTTCTGCCAAATCAAACACCTGGAGGGTCCTGGAGAAAAAAGCACAAACTGTGACCATGCCCCAAGGCAGAGCTGTGAGCAGGGTTAGGGCTCTGCAGTTTCAGGGGGTTTTTATTTTATCACAGCCTGGCTGGGCTGAAAAATGCACCACAAAAGGGGAAAAGTCACTTCAGCCTTCCCTTCCAGCTCCCCTCTCCTTGCAAGGTTTGGATTTTGTCACTTCTCTCAGCACCTGAAGGCTTTAACCAAAGATCACCCTTTGCAGGCTGCCCCAAAAGTGCCACTGCTTCAATTACTCCTACATGGCATTAAAGGCTGGGGAAAAAAATACCTCAAAAAGTAAAATTTTGTTCCACAAACAAAACCCTTCAGCTGGGAATAGCATCATGGGCAGCTGACCTCTCTCCAGGGACACCCTTTTCCCATCTGCAGTGCTTACAACATGAGCAGGAGAATAATTCAGCTCCAAAACTGGTTCTTGGTTCATGCACTCATTAGGTATTTTGAAGAAAAGTCTAGTCCCAGGCTTTCAAATAAAAAACATTCTGTCTGTACAATGCATTTGAGGAAATACCAGAGTTGCTTTACTAGTACAGGGAAAAAATATAACCCAGAGGTAATTTTAAATATTTTTGTGTACCAAAAATCAAAGGAACTCCTCAATTCTCTCTAAAACAAAATAATAAAAAATAAAAATAATCATTTTAAGTATTGTCACCGTTTCCTCTGGAGGGAATATCAAATCAGCTGTAAAATTAACTGATTTCAACAATCCCTTCCCAAAGAGAATGACTTCAATAAATGCAGTGACAATGCCTGTGCTCATTTAATGCACAACCAGACTCTGAGCAGCCCCTTTAAAATTTATTCCCTATTTACCAGTGAGGAAACCCAGCAGCAGTGCCTCTTGCTGGTTCAGTTATCTGGGGAAGAATTCTGCTGTCTATTGTGTCTGACCCTGTTCCAGAACTGCAGGATCTGGTTTGGAATTTAAATCTGTGACAAAAAAGGTCCTCCCCAGCCATAAATTCCATGCATAATGTGCTTCAACTACTGAGGGATTTCCATTTCATTTCAATGTATTCCTCAGATGATTTCTAAAATTATACCACGAGTTTATTACTATTCCTCCAAAAAAGTGGCTTGGATCCATCAGATTTGGTTTTATTCATTTTTCAGCTATTTCTTTAGCAGCTCTTGGTGTTTATCAATAATCCCATCACACTGAAGTGCCCCTTTCTGCCCCAGCTGTGATCCCTCAGGCCTTCAAGGTCTTCCAAAAATATCTATATGAAATATGTAATTCATGATATCTGATTTTCATGCAGCAGGAAAATGCTCCTGTGCCAATCTTTTCATGGCAGAGAACAATCTGAAGGTTACAGTGACCATACTGGAAGAAATATTCTGGGTCTCTGTCAGAGCAATGTAACAGCACCCAGGAATTCTAGAGATACATTATTGGAGAATAAATACCCATTCCTGCAGCTTTGAGAGAGATGGGACATTCCACAGCCACAGAAATGATGGAATTCAGAGGCAACCTATTCTATTATTTAATTGTCCTGGTTTATAAAGCAGGTTGGAGTGGGGATATACTCAGCTGCTTGTTGTAGATTTCATTTGCTGGATCTCCAATTTATCAGATTTTTGAAGTATCAATGATTATGATTCTTTCCTAATTACAAAGAAGTGACAGTGTTAAAACTTGAGCCATTACAACTCTAGCTCATGAAGCAAACACTTCATGCAAACACTGCTCAATTTAAGCTTAAAGCAAGTTTTTCTCCCACTATCAACATTTTTACCTTTTTCATGCCTGCTCAGGGCACTCAGGAACTTCCTACATTTGTCTGAGTGAAAAATGAAAACTGCCAACAAAAATGAGCTCCACCCACCCTCCCCAAGAAACCACCAGATTTGTTTTGCATTCATAACGAGCATCCTTCTACCCTTAAACAACGTTAGGCCAATTAGTGCCATTAAGATTTAATTAGACCTAAACAATGCTTCATATGAGCAGAATCCCTGCTTTGAATAAGGTTTGAATGTTTGAATTTTTTGAATAAGGTTTGAAAGCAGTGTTTGTGGGAAGTTTCTGTAGTCAGGCTGGAGCTGTGCTTAGGTCCACACCAGTGCTGAAAATCTCACCAGTCCAGCCACAAAGAAAACCAAAATTCAGTATTTTAAATGCCAGAAGCAGCCAAATCCTTGCCTACCTGATATGCCATTCTTGCTGGTGTTCAATAAAGCTACAGATGCTGCAGAGACTCTTTTATTATTCACAGTCTGCCCTGCTTTCCTTGAGGTACATTCTTCACTATCACTGTCCTGGAGGTTGAGTAGCCTGGGCTGGAAACACTGCAGTCGACATGATCTGATATTGCTTAGGATTTCAGGAAGGGACAGTCTGTTTTCACAAGGTTTATTGGAAGCATTGGTCCGTGAAAAATTAGAAGAAAAGTCTAAAGTCTGGGAAGAGCTTGAAAAACTGCTGAGCATTTCCGGGTCAATCTGCCTCAGGACAGGATCGTGCTCTGTGGATATTCGGTCCATGATCACCCTGGGCAAAGAGGAGGAGGAGGAGAAGCATTACCTTCAGCAGCTCTCTTTAATACTTTTATCCTTTGAAGAATTCATTAGAAAGGACCCAACTGTACCTTCCACCCCTGCCAATCCTCCTCCTTGCAAACCCTATACATCTCCTTGGGATTGTGAGGGTTGTAAGGCAATGCCTGAACCTCAGCTTGTCCAATTCTGCCAATTCTGGGCCTTCGGACGAAGAATTCGTTTGGTCCAAACGAGGCTGTGAAGAAAGAAAAGGCAATTTTATATTCCAAGGGCACTGCTGGGTATCATACACGTGGTTTGTGTTCAGTTAACCAATAACAGCTTCTAATAAACTCTAATATTTAGGCTGTTAAATGCATCTAGCAGCAATGGTAACGTTGGAGGAAATGAAAATAAAAGTTTTCAGTCATTTCAACATCTCTTGGCAAAGGAATCAACTCACTCAAAGGAATCAATAGGCTAAGGGAAAAAAGAAAGGAGGGTGAATTCCAAGCAAGTGGGAAGTTCAGCTTGGAGCCTTCAGAGCCAAGCAGAGAAGGGGATGCTCCTGCAATTGTCTTTGGACTCAGCAAAGCATCAAAGCTTTGGTGGTGAGAGTGGGAACAGAACTCCAACACTGGCACTATGCCAACCTAAATTAAAGAAACCACCCCAAAACCCAACAGCACAGCACAATTCTGCATGTTCTTACAGCATAATACTGGCATCCTGCTCTTCTCCTGAAAGCACAAGGTCCATCAGGATCATTTTCTTCTTCTGCCTCTGACACAGGTGAGGGTACCTGGACCAGAGAACAACATCATTCTCCCAACTGCCACATTTGTATAATTGTATTTATTATAAAAATTTGTGTTTATGTAATGAGAAAACAATGTCATTCTCCCAACTGCCATATTTGTACAATTGTATTAATTATAAAAGTTTGTGTTTATATATGAGAACTGCCATGTTTATCACAGCTTGGAAGGAAAACTCAGTTTACACAAGGAGCTTTTAAATATATTCAGAGTTGGGACAAGCCAGACTGGCCAAATGCCAGCTAACAGGAATGTCTGCATTGCTGTCCTGGGGTGACATTATGATGTTTGTATCCCCACTCATCTGTTCTGTGCCTTTAGACCGGCTCTGAAGAGTGGAAGTTTTGTTTGGGTTTCTCTTATCAGGGACACAGAGATGGGCAGTACATAGGGCTGTTTTTCACTTCTTGTTTCAGCTTGCTGCTTTGCTTGCTCTCTTTTCTGCTCTTGCTTCTGCTCTGCTTTGGCCTCTGCCTGTTAGCTAGTTCTAGCTAACAGCCCACATTGCTGCCTGGACTGTTTCTCCTCTCCTGTTCCTGTGACCATCTCGAACCTGCTCCGGACTTGTCTGATTTTTGGCTGTCTGGATGGCCTGGAAAGGCCCGGGGTGGCCTTGGGGCAGCCCTCACTTCAGAGGACAAGAAGAGGCTTCAGTTCTTTTCTCGGTCTCGGTGTTCATTAATTGTTTATCTAAAAGATTTTCTCTGGGCCCGACAGAGCTCTGCTCAGCAGCCAGCCATGAGCACACTCCCTGCCCTCTGGGGAGGTCACCTATCTTTATACCCAAAGTTACGTGTACAATATTTATCATTTTTCCCCAATACCTTTCACCCTTATTGCCCGGTGCACTTTCAGTAATGACCAATCCCAAAGTGCCACCATCACCACAGAAGATGGAGGAGAAGAAGAAGAAGAAGAAGGACAGGACACGCCCCAATTCCTCCATCTTACTTCTCTAAACCCCCCTGTACAGAAATCCTAAACCCTGTGTTTCACTCTCTAATTAACTGATCCCTTCACCATTCACCCCGGTGAAACCCTCCTGTCCTCATACAGGTGTCGTCTCCTGTGTAGGATCAAAGTCCAGCCACCAGACACTTCTGGAACATTCCAGGACTCCCGAGCCCCCCAAGGGTGCTCTCGGTGACACCTCAGTGCTGAGCTGCTGAGATCCCACACACACTGGGACCCGGGAACACCAAGGGTTCGGCTGCAGCAGCTGCCCCAGCGCCAGAGGGACTGAGAACAGAGCAACCACCCCCAAAGAGACTTTCTGATTTTTCCATCTTTCTCAGAGCGGTGTCACCTGGTATTGTTCATTTTGTGTGCTGGGGGTGCTGTGTCTGTCAAATAAACAGGTTCTTTCCCCCTCTCTCCAAGGAATTTTTTCCCGAACCGGTTGGGTTTTGCTTTCTGGAGGGGCCCTCCTTTTGCAGATTCTTTAACAAATTTGCCCTAAACCAGGACACTTGTGCACATTGAGATTTGGGGGTTACCTGTGGGAACTCATCCTCATCAGAGCTGTGGAAGTCGTACTGTTTGATGTCACTCTTGCTGAGCACGGGCAAGGGCTCAGCCAGGGGCTGAGGGGTCACCACACACTCCAGCTTGGGCTTCTTCAGGTATTTCTTCTTCTGCCGGACCACGTCGGACACCTCCTCCTTCAGTGAGGAGTGGTGAGGGTGCTGCTCAGGGAAAACAAACACAAAATTCAAAAAAATTAAACCATCAGCAAATTTCATTAGTTCAAGACAGGCTGTTTGTCTTCCAAAGGCTCTGCAGGTATTTGAGACATGGAATGCAGAATGTACTGAGCACATTGAACGCCAGAAGCTTTGCTGTGATTGTTTTTACAGGTATTTGTTAATAATCAGAGAGCTCTCCAGCCATGGCACTGCCTGAGAGGCTCCTCACTCTGCACTACACTCTGTGTATTGTCATTGAAATTCCTCTCCCAATTATTTTCTGAGATCTCATTTTTCCCTGGCACTTTCAATTTTCTGAACTGCTCGGACATGTTCAAAAGAAACAATTTAATTTGTTTCCTGTTTCTCACAGAGCTGACACTTTGGAACAGATGTGATGGTATTTGGGTTGGCTACTTAAGATTTTTCTCACATAAACCCTCTGCAGTGAGCAATTATTCCATCGATACTGAACTGTCCACTTGAACACAAATGTTATTAAACTTCAAAGCTCCCATTTGAAAAGATTATTTCACTTGCAAAATTCTCCATTTGAAGGAGAAGCAGCAATGCAGTTTTAAAAGTGTTGAAATTTACCCTGGATTAACACCCATCAAATGGAGCTGGGCTTGGGAAGCAGAGGAGGAACAGAGGAATGCCAAAATTCCAGGAGGAATTCCGGGCTCTGTGTGGAATTCTGGCACCACTAGGTGTCGCAGGTGCTAAATACAAATTTCCAGAGGTCTTCAACTCTCAGCCTCACCCCCAGGCATTTTAACTCCTAATATTTCAGGTTATTTCTTCAGAGACAGGTCTGAATTCAAAGCACATCCAAGGGGATGATGATCCCAAAGGAATCCCAGGAACAAGAGATTCATGGCAGGGAAAAAAAATCTCACCTTAACTTTACATTCTTGAACTTTGTGGTGGCTGCCATTGTGGAGAGATGATGGAGTTGTGCCCAGCTCTTTGTCAGGTCTGTTCAGCTTCACCTCATTGAGGATTTCACCTCCATAATCACCTAAATGGTACCTGAAAAAGCAGAATTGAAAATACAGGGCTGCATTTCCACTGGGAAGTGTCTGAGAGACACAAACCAATGTCTTCCAACCTCTTTTAATTTTTGAAGTTTATGCTGCTACAATAAACAATGAGAGATGATTTCAAAGCCATTTAAGGAAAATTTTAAACCTTGGTTTTTACAATCTGGGATTTTACCTTTTCTCCACAACTTCCAACGTTAAATGCAACAGCTCCCGCTTTGTTTTCTCTCTCCTCTTGATCATCTCCAAAATTGTTATGGCTCTGCTAAACTCCCTCCTTAATTTCAACATCTTCTCATAAGATGCTTCATCGTTCTTTCGGTTCTGTGGAGAGATGAAACAAATTTTTAGTCCAAAGCAAAAGCCAAGAGGCACAAACTACAAAAATAAAGTTACATAATGCTGCTGCAAACCAGGCTCATGAGGACACTCCAAAGCAGCTTTTCCTAAAGCAGATCCTACTTGGCAAACAAAGCCCCAAAAAGCAAAAAAAAACCCAGTTTGAAGAGTGAGCTGAGAAGAACTTTGCATGTTTTGCTCAGATTTGTGATCAAGCCAGTGGAAGTTTGTCAGAAGAAGGAATTCAAGTCTATACCTTGATTCCACACACAGTAAGGCTGTGCAGGTGTGATTACAGATTTCCTGGTTCAAATCATTCTGTGCTACCAATACAAAACCTGGGAATTGTTTCCCACAGAAAGGAAAGCTGCCAAGCCAGCAGGTTAGGTTGGTTGTGTGCCAAGCATTGCTCTGGGTTTCAGCTCAGAAAATGGATGGACATTATGGAAAATGGATGGACAGTAACTTGTCCCCTGCAAGATGCTGGACAGTGATCCAAATTATCCCTACCAAGGGAATAATGTACAATCCCAACAGCAGAGCCTGCCAAGTCACCTTTCTGGTCTGCATCTTCTCAGTTCTCCTCCTGAAGGCCACGTAGGGGTCGTTGTTGGTGGAGCCATCCCTCTTCTCCTGCTTGATCTGCGGGATGAGCGAGGGCCCCCGGCAGTTCTTGCGCTTCCTCACCCAGTAGTCATAGACAGCCTTGATCAGGTAATCGTCCTCGTTGAGCAGCAGTTTGGCCTCCTGGAGGGTCACCAGCTGCAGGGGAACAGGGACAGCCAGCTCACATGGGGCTGCAGGCAAAGCCACCACACTCACACCCCTTGGGCACACTTGGTTATGTCCCAGCACCGGAGTAAGGGGATGAAAAAACATTCATGGAAATGAAGTCACCAAGTTTGTGTTCCCAACTTTGCTGAACCAGCAGCATCTCCTTCATCCAATGGTCTAGAATTCCATCAGTCTTTCATCAATCTGAAAACACTTTAAACAACTACAAGTACAGGATAGAGAGAACTTACTGCAGTCTGCAGGTCATGATTTGGGAATCACAAAGAAAAGAAGTTTCTTATTGGTTCTTATTGGTTAATCTTATTTTATTCTTATTGGTTAATATTATTAATAATATAACCAATATTATTCTTATTGGTTAATCTTTATTAGTGTGTAATTCTTTGCAGTTGAATGTTGATTCTCTAGAAGCCAATTTATTTCTTAATTATTTCCCCCCAAATGTTTACTTTGTGATAGAACAGGACAATGCCCATCCCTGTTCATTCCAGCCTGGGGACACAAGGATGTTCACTTGTTTGCTGAGTTATTTCAGTAGGTGCTAGTTCTACACAGATCACTTTGAGATAAAAAATAAATCTGTGTTCAGCTTCTTATATGGAAATCAGACTCGAAATAAATGCAAAAGTATCACTAAAAAGTACATTAGATTAACAGGCTCACATCATCTTCAACCCATTCATTAAACAAAAAGAAAATAGCACTTAGTATTACTTAAAAAAAAAAGGCAGCACTTCATCTGCCCCATAATTTGAAAAATAACAACTGAACAACTTAATTTGCACTTTTGCAACGTGTCAAACTTTAATCTCGTCCCTACGTTAGGAGAAGCAAAAAAAGGAAACAACACATTTTGGAAAATAAGGAAATCCTGAGTGTAACCATGGCTACTCTGCAAGTGCCAGCTCCAGCCCAAGCAGAATAAAACCTTTGCAATCTGTGGTAGAATTTAAAAAGCACTGAACTGTTTTTGTTAAAAAATGAAAAAGTATTGCTTAGAAATAATTTCAGTTTTGTCTTTTGTTCCATTTTTTCCATGAACATATTTCTTATAAAAATATAAAAATATAATAAATAAATTTTTAAAAAATTACAATGAAAAACATAAAAAATTTTTACAAAATCACCTCAGCCTTGAATGCACAGCTGTGTTTGCCTGCAGATGCAGAATCCTGGTAGAAATGCCCAGGAGCAAAGCCTGGAACCCCTCCTGGGCAGGGAAGGCATTCCCAGCAACATCCTAAATTTAATATTCCAGGGATCAGGCATTTATAAATTTAATATTCCAGGGAATTGGGAGCAGCACCCAAACCCCACCAGCCCTGCCCTGCCCAGGCCCCAATAACCTGCAAGAGCTGCTTGTGGCTACAGAGAAAAACCTGCGCCCTTGTAATATTTTATTTTTGAAAAGCAGCTTCAAATCTTAAATTGAACTTAAATCAGCATTAGAGGGGTGAATACTGAACATGAAAAGTGAGCACTAGAATGGCCTGAACTGAGACCCAGAACAGAGGTGAATTTATCAAAGTGCATGTTCAACAAGTATCATCCAGTGTATTCCCTATTTTTCCATTCATTCCCATTTTCTTAGCATAGTAAGAAATTTCTGCCTTTCTGAAGTTGCTCTAAGATAGAGAAAAATTCAATATTTTGGCCTTTTAACAGACAGCACTGAACTAAACCAGGTTCAGGAACTGAGGCAGAGCCATGGATCCCACAATGGATTTTTCCCTCCCACCCTCACCTCACCTCACTGGGCAATAACTGCCCCTGCTCAAACCTGATTTCCACAAAGTGATCCCCTCAGGTTTAGTTTTGCAGTGAATATTTTGGGTTTTTTTCCTCCCACCAAGCCTCACCTCACTGGGAAATAACTGCCCCTGCTCAAACCTAGTTTTGCAGTGAATATTTTGGGTTTTTTCCCTCCCACCAAGCCTCATCTCACTGGGAAATAACTGCACCTGCTCAAACCTGATTTCCACAAAGTGATCCCTCAGGTTTAGTTTTGCAGTGAATATTTTGGGTTTTTCCCCTCCCACCAAGCCTCACCTCACTGGGCAATAACTGCACCTGCTCAAACCTGATTTCCACAAACTGATCCCTCAGGTTTAGTTTTGCAGTGAATATTTTGGGTTTTTTCCCTCCCACCAAGTCTCACCTCACTGGG